AAACTAATCTCATTCCTACATTATTATTGGTCACTTTACAACAAGACCGATGACAATATCGCACCATATATTCATTGGTGTGTTATTGTAACCGTATGTTCAGTGAGATCGTTCGTTGTAACATCTCTACGGGACATGAAAGTCCCGAGGAAGACGAGGATAACACTGGCGGAAGGGAGTGACTGATTCAATAAATTCTTACGGATACGAAATGCAACTCAACTCAAGTTCTGAAACGCATTTGGTCTAAGCAGTGCATTTCGTTCGTTCGCGAGAATATTTCACAAAGAAACGCGAACATACTGAGTGCATGGTATGCAATGTTAAGTTTAAAATATTTACTAAATTACAGAGATATTCACGAACATTAGAATCGCAAAAGATACGTAGTAAGTTAACATTACGCATGAACTGCACAGTATTGTTACTTTAATATTATAAACACTTCGTCCGATGAATGTTTAACGCATGAAACACCATTCATTTCATTCCAATAGCAGCAACAATGAGATCATGAACGAGTAAAATATTGAATCATACCTTATTAAGACCTTCGACGCAGTTGAAGAAGATACAGATGAAAACAAGGAAAGCATATCTGCATTTAACATCACCATAAGATGGTACTTGATCCTGACTCGTCAACGATCAAACCTTCCGAACGTAAGCAATCAAACCGAATGTGAATGAAACAGCTGAAATACGAAGATTCTAAGAGATCGATCGCTATGAATAGAACACACTTCTCGTGAACGTATCATCACGTCAGCTAGCATTCATACGTACATGAATATTTCGTAGTAACATGAAACAACTATTGTAACTATTGAAGTACATCACGGACTAATCTCTAACAATCAACAATACATGAAATATTCACTGAAGAGTTTCTTTGAAGCTACGGCCAGTCACTGCATCTATACCAAAATATACATTGGCAATAAACTTTTTAAGCGTTCCACCATTGTAGAATAAAAATACTACACATATTCATTTGATGAACAAGTACTACACGTATTCAGTTATCATTTAGGTGAAACGACTTCAATAAATATCTAAATATTTTAAATTTGAGCCCCTTGTGAGGCTGAATCTACGCAGAAGCTGAAACGGGAGTCTAGTTCTGAAAGACCTAAAGTGCGAAATGACTACGTCGGAAAGACTAACTCTAAGCCTGAAATCGAGTCTTAAATTCAGTGAATAAGGCCAAGACAAACCCATTAATAACACTGAGCCAGCCACCAATGGATTCAATCACCGATTGATGGTACGTTAAAAGTATTAAAAAACTAATCAAACCATACTTCACACCAATCAATACTTCATACGACAACAAACTTCTATCATGTTCTATGCAGTTTCCAGTTTACTGCATCAACCATTTCATCTATATTTCTTCACATTTTCACACAGGCCTTGTTGAACCCGAAACAAATAGTTTTAAACGAACGAAAATTTAAATTAGTCACTCCGAATGGCAGAGAATTACCTCGAAATGAAATTCTCCAATGGATCAAATCGTCGTCACATAATACCAATTCGAATATGGAATCTTCACACCATAGACTTCTCTACACAACTTTCTCACACCATAAACATTTACACAATAAACCTTAACACAAATACAATCAAATATCGATCACAAAAAAAATCACTACATTACTATATTACTAATTCATTGCAAAAAATGAGAAGGCTACTTTCCCATTCTACTAACAAATTTTCGATTATACTATTTTTGGTTTACTCTGATGACAACAACAACGATTTCATAACATACTCAGTACTACATTACTTTATTACTATACAACATATTTTTCTTTATTACCAATAAATTATTTTCCGACTAAAACGATTAATACCAATTATACTCCATCTCAACCTCTATCATACCACTGCAATTGCAACTTCGTCAATTTTCGTACGAAAGCGCAATGACCGAAAAAACCAAATGAGAAAAACACACCAAAAAAATCACATACACCTTCTTGAACCCGAAACAAATGGTTTTAAACGAACGAAAATTCAAATTAGTCATTCCGAATGACAGAGAATTATCTCGAAATGAAATTCTTCAATGGATTAAATCGTCGTCACATAATACCAATTCAAATACGGAATCTTCGCACCATAGACTTATCTACACAACTTGATCGTAATGAATTCATTGCAAAAAATGAGAAGGCAACTTTCTCATCCTATTACCAAATTTTCGATTTGACTATTTTTGGTTTGAAGATGGACTTGTTACTTACACATCGAACGGATGTTTTGTTGATCGCTGCTAGCGATCGGTGGAATGTTTATTTTGTAGATGTGTGATTATTTATCGGATTGGTATTTGGCTACGCTTAATTGTGTAAAGTATTCACGGCAACTAATTAAATACTCAGTTGTGCTCAATTGGCCTGCTCGCCTAGCCAGCAGGGTGGCTGAAATCAAGGCTAAAACAGTGCGAACGGAAACGCGAGCATTGTGATCAGCAACGTTATGAACGTTTGATAGCCCGGTCAATCCAGGTAATCCAGGCAAACTATTTTTGGTTTACTCTGATGACAACAACGACGATTTCATAACATACTCATCACTACATTACTACATTACTTTATTACTATATTATTCTCTATTTTCACTGTATTACTTTCCAACTAAAACGATTAATACCAATTATACTCATTCCTAATCTTCCTATACCACTGTAATTGCAATTTCGTCAACTGTTTCATTGCAGCTGCAATTTCGTCGGTTTTTCATACGAAAGCGCAATGACCGAAATAAACCAAATGAAGATTCATTCCGAATGATTCATTTTCCGGTTTTTCATTAATTAAAACACAACGAAACGAATTTTAGACACGAAACAGCCAATTTTATAAGGATGGTGTTCGTATGTAATGAACATGAAGGAATGAATTATTCTCAAAAATCTGGAATCATCTCATAAATTTTTTTCTTATCTTGTGTTTTTCCCGATTAGTTTTTATCAATTTATTTATTCATTTTTAAGATTTATGACATTCTCACATACACATACAAGAATTATAATAAAAATAATAGTAGTGATAATAGAAACAATAATAATACTAACAATGAATAATATCATTATCATCATTAATAATAAATATGATAATAATAATAAAAATAATATCAATAAATAAAGGACCATATCGCAATATATATCACAATGCAATTGCACATATGAAAACATAATTCGACAGCGAAAAATAATGGCATGCAGATATTATCATATCATTATCACTTTAACTCTGAAAACATTTCCTTTTATAGATTTTGATGCTAATAATCACCACATCAAGACTGCTGACCTTTAAGATTACTATCAAATATCTTCCACAAATATAAGACCACCCTCCTTTTTTGGTTTCACGATTAAATTTACTCATTTTCAGAAATTTCGAGGGATTTTCAATTTTCAATGCACAAAATGTAACGGACATGATATGTAGCATTTCAAGTGGATCATTTTTAATGATAATGACTGATAATATGAGATAATGGATGATACATCCAAATCAAACAATCAATTTCATTGCGTTGCGATTCTTGAAGAATCGCTGAATAAACCGAAGTATTATTAAGCAATATCAATTGAAGATTATGTTGAAAAGCATCACGTGAATATGAATGAACGAACCACAATGAATATTGTACAAAAACGAAAAAATCAACGAATAAATAAATGCTTTCAGGCAATCTGGAAATGAACATATAAAATCTATTATCGTACGTATGGATGCAATCCGAAATGCTCAATCTTACAACACATAATGTTATTATATGAAAATATCTATAACAATAACAATTCCAGCATTTATCATAATACTAATGACAATAACAATAACGGTAACTATTATAAGAATCGAAACCATGAAGTTTTCTTCACCCAGTTTCAAGTTATTTTTGACCTATATTAAAACATATCCTAAAACTATCAGGATGCCATTAGATTATACATGAGATTATCCGAATTTGAGTTCTTTTCTAGACTTTCAAACTCGAGATGACAACTTGTTTCAGTGCTAATATCTACATCATTGTTCCGCAAATTTTCTCGAAATTTTGCGGAATTTTTCCCTCCTTGAGTAATTTAACCTACCCTACATAACTTTATGACAGGATGTATTAATATTAGTATTATATTACAGATTAGAAACGATAACAATCAGAAAAACGCAGACAACAACAACAAGTAATCATAACAAAAACGATAATCAACGCAATCTTACATGACATATACAAAAGTTTCAAAGAAAATAAGTATGACTTACTGATAAGTAGTGAATAATTCTATTTATACTACGATGCTACCCTATCAATATTGTATATTCCAACATAGCGTATACGAAGGAATATTCACACATCTCTGGATATTACATCGTATATTCCACTAGCATGAAGTCAGCAGTCCATAATATTGGTTTAAACATTACTTTCCAACATATCTTCTCTCGCCGATTTGCTTGCTTATATCGATAATATTATTTCATATTATAATACCAAATTCGATAATATTGCTTTCAATAAACCATCATAACACCACAATACACATTAATAACCGTTCATGACTGATCAAAGCCCGTATTGCCACAAAACAATTTTCCATTAAAATTTTACTCATTTCATATCGAGTAAATATATTTTGCTTGAATAATATCGATCAATCATATTCTAGACATCTCTGAAAAACAAATCAATCATATTTTAAAAATTCAAAACATCTCTGAAACGAGATTCAAAACATTACACCAGATATATTAAATTCTGTTAAAATCAGTTAGGTTAAAATTTGAAGCATTAGATTAAATTCACTTCTAAAACCATTTTTTAATTGTGATCACTTATCTTATAATCACGATAATACAGATGATATATTAACGTTCTAAACACAGAATTATTGCTAATATATATGATAAAGACAATATATAACACCATAATCAGAAGCGATTATAATGAGAATGAAACAAATATTGGGAATGCACTTACGAAGTCTCCAAATGATTATCCATGATGAACTTCAACAGTTCATGATGTTTATCGGTGTTGTGTTTGTTGTTATGATGATTAATAGGTTTCTGATGGTGCTGACGATGGTGCGATTTAGCATCTTTGATGAGTATTGATGGAGGCGGTTGTTCGGGCAATGGGGGCGGCAGCATTGGTCCCTTATCAACGGCGATATTCTCTTTGATTGATAGAATATTCGACGATGGCGGCGGGGGGACGGGGCCTACGGGAGAGGGATGATTAGGCGAATGCGGGTTATGAGCCGGGATTAACGGAGGTGACGGGGTGTTACTGACGAGTGTTCGTTGCTGGCATTGGGACTGGGTTTGAGTTTGGGTTTGTTGCTCATCAGATGAAGAATCCGTGTGATGATGATGCTCCCCAATGGCTACTGCAATTATTTCCCGATTATAATACTTCAATACCCCAATACAATACTTGAATTTGAAGTATTATATTATAATCCAGGTATAATACTTCAATTTCAACTCAAAAATTCCCCAAAACAGATGGTACTAAAGTTATGTACAATAGTGAACCAAATGAGTATAATGACACTTCTTCAAAGTTCATTAAATCAATGAACTTTAAGCATTATTATACCAGTATGAAAAGTCAATGGATGGAATATTCATTTCTTGTTTTTCCGATCATATCCATATGAATACCACATTCAACATAAATAACGTATGAATAATTAGAAATACGAAAAAATACAAATATCGCTAATCACATTTTAACTATCTCAAACGTACAGCTCAATGAAAATCTGTCAAAATTATACAAAACGAAGGAAAATCTGTCAAAAAAAAGAACATTGAGAAGTGAATTGAGAAGTTGGCCATCCATACCTTTAGAAACGTGATAGTCACTAATATCACTGGTTGGTGTTTTATCGTCATTTATCGGCGTGATTGTGTCGGTGTGTGACGATGAGGCAGTGCTTATGCCCGATGTTGACGAGCTGAACGATTCCGATGAGGCTACTGTTGACTGCGAATGTCGACGACTTTGCTGCAATTCAAACAAAAAATAGACTGATTAAAGTCGGAAATTTCCTTTCGCTATTTTCCAAAAAAAGAAAATTCTCTATATATCCTAAAGTAACAAGAGCAATTTCTGAAGAAAAGGAACCTTTCAGCTAACGAACAAATTATTAAGACAATATCATGAGAGATACGACTGGAAAGCAAACTTATGAAGAGCCAAGAGAAACTTTCATAACATTTTCAAAAGCTTCAGAAGAAATGATACGATTCTTTCAAGTATATCACTTCGAGTTTTTCCAGATTATATCAAAGCGCGACAGTCTCAAATAAGCCAAAGTGCTCAAAAGTCAGTAAAGAACTGATTAAAGCAATGAATCAAAACGATCGAAGAGAGGGATAAAAGCGATCTACAAACTTGCTCATTGAGACGACTTGAGATCTTCCTTGAGGAACCACCAACAGCGGATGAAACGTTCCACGAGAAACGTTTCAAAATCCCAGGTGGTAAACCCGATGCACCCTTCGGTTTCAGTACATCGATTCCATCGGCTGTATGGTAGCGACGCTCAAAACGACGAGCGTTACCTTGCAACTGCAACTGCAATTCACTTCATTTTAAAATGGCAACACATCTTTCACTAAATGATTCCCATTGCAATAAGAATCCAACGATGAGAACTTCTGTGAATACCAATAGAAATTTCTGCAACTGCCCATAATTTCCTTCAGTCATTTTTTGTGACAATTTTCAAGGAACGTCAAAAGTTACCACATTCTTATTATTTATTAACTGCTAACAATAAGTACTAATATTCTATATTCATTAATTTCTAAAAACCTCCTCCTAATGTATCCATTATTCATCTGACTTTAAGTAGAAAATTATTGTATGAATG